AACTCAAAAACATATGGTATGTACATAATGTGTGATCCATTTACTTGAAAGTTCTAGAACAAGCAAAACTAATCTATGGTGGAAAAAAAATCAGAACACTGGATGCTTCTGGGATGGCGATGAGGGTGGGATTGACTGGGAAGGGTATGAGGCAGCTTTCTGGAGTGATGGTAATGTTCTATATCTTGGAAAGGATTTGAGTTACACAGGTTTATGTATTAGTAAAAACTCATGGACTACTACATTTAAGGTGTTCATTTCGTTGCATATAATTTTGCCTCAAAAATTTTTTTAAAAATCCTAAAAAAACTGAACTCTAGTTAATGATGTTCACACTGAAGTATTAGTGAGAAGTGCACTCATGTCTGTAATTTACTTTGAAATGCATCAAAGAATAAGATGGATAGATGCATAAAAAGAAGGATAGAGAGACATATATGGCAAAGCCAATACAGTAAAATGTTAAAGGGATAGTCTAGGTGGTGGGTATATGAGTGTTCACCATACAATTATTTCAACTTTTCTGAATATGTGGAAATTTTGTTATGTTGGAAAAATATATCATGAAGGAAATAAACAGAGAGGTGGATAAAAAAATAAACTCTTAATACATTTAACAGAATGACTTGATGAGCATCATACAATAGGATTTTGCTTTAACAAGAAAGCTAAAGTAGAAAACATAGGAATAAATTTACAAAATGCCCTTAAAAGAAGAATTTAAGATTTTAAAAGTATGTATATTTTACAATTATATTAGCTTACATTCTATTACATATAATAGTATATTTTGTTTTTATAATTTATTCTCTGTGGTATCACATGAAGACATATACATTAGTAATCCTTCTTCCTCAACATGGCTGATAAATGGCATAAGAATTTACAGCAAGACGACTCAAATGGACATGTCAAGCTGTCAAGGTATGATTTCAATGAAAAACAAAATATGATTTATTAATTCATATCCTGCCATTACATCATGAAATAGATTCAATGGCAGATAGCGCAAAAGTAGTTAAATAACAAGAAAATGAAAGAATGTTTATAAAATACATACATAACAGTATGCCACAAACTGATAAGAAAAAGATTCAAAACAAAACAGAAAACCAGGTAAGGAAGGGGTTGTTGCCTTTGTTAGGTGACACTGAGTTGGTTTCGACTTAAAGCGACCCTATGAACAACAGAATGAAACACTGTCCAGTCCTGTGCCATCCTCACAATCGTGGCTATGTTTGAGCCCATTGTTGCAGCCACTGTATCAATTCAACTCATTGAGTGTCTTCCTCTTTTTAAGTGATCTTCTACTTTAACAAGCACAATGTCCTTCTCCAGGGACAGGTCTCTCCTCATAACACGTCCAAAGAACGTGAGATGAAGTCTCGCCATGCTCGGCTCTAAGGAGCATTCTGGTTGTATTTCTTCCAAAATAAATTTGCTTGTTTTTCTGGCAGTCCATGCTATATTCAATATTCTTCCCCAACACCATAATTCAATGGCATCAATTCTTCTCTGGTCTTCCCTATTCACTGTCCAGCTTTCTCATGCATATGAGGCAACTGAAAATACCATGGCTTCGGTCAGGCACACCTTAGTCTTCAAAGTGACATCTTTGCTTTTGCACACTTTAAAGAGGTCTTTTGCAGCAAGATTTCCCCAATGCAATATGTCGTTTGATTTCTTGACTGCTGCTTCCATAGGCGTTGATTGTGGATCCAA